CTGCTGCAGGGGGGGGCGGCGGGCGTGGGCAGGGGAGCGCGGGTCGTTGCCGGCGCCGGTACCGGTACTGGTGCCGGTTCGGCGCTCACGGGCAGGCCCCGCAGGTGCAGCACGCCAGCAAGCAGATCGCGGCCGACAAGCAGTACAAGGGCATCGTGGACTGCGTGGTGCGCATCCCACGCGAGCAGGGCGTCCTCTCCTTCTGGCGCGGCAATCTGGCCAATGTGATCAGGTACTTCCCCACGCAGGCGCTCAACTTCGCCTTCAAAGACAAATACAAGCAGCTCTTCCTGGGCGGCGTGGACAAAAGGACCCAGTTCTGGCGGTACTTTGCGGGTAACCTGGCGTCTGGTGGCGCCGCCGGCGCCACCTCCCTCTGTTTCGTCTATCCCCTTGATTTTGCCCGCACCCGCCTGGCAGCCGACGTGGGCAAAGCAGGTGCCGACCGCGAGTTCAGTGGGCTCGGTGACTGCCTGGTCAAAATCTTCCGGTCAGATGGCCTTAGGGGCCTTTACCAAGGCTTCAATGTGTCCGTCCAGGGCATCATTATCTACAGAGCTGCCTACTTTGGCATCTACGACACCGCAAAGGGTAGGTGGACCAAAACTGAAATGAAATGGAGATGCTGGACACAGCAGATCTGTAGCGTATTTTGGCATGTGCCGCTGGCTCGCCTGACGCCAATCCCTCTCTCCCCAGGCATGCTTCCTGACCCCAAGAACACCCACATCGTTGTCAGCTGGATGATCGCGCAGACGGTCACCGCCGTCGCCGGCTTGACCTCCTATCCTTTTGACACAGTTCGTCGCCGCATGATGATGCAGTCTGGTCGTAAAGGAGGTAAGTTCCACCCCCTGTATTGCATAGGGAAGTACTGGGCATCCCTGAAGAAAACGGCTGGTGGTGGATCTCTGATAAAGGCAGCATGGTTTGGCTTTCAGCAAGATCTGTAGACATGCTTTATTCTTGCAAATAGCACGGTGTGAGGAATGGATGAATTAGTCCATTCTGGACTCCTATATTATGGCACATACAAGTAAGGTCTCTATCAGTAGCAGAGTTTGCCCAAGGATGTTGCAAACTAGTCTCCCTGGGCCAGGGAGAGATGTTCCTCATTGCAGGCATGGCCTTGGCTGACTGTGCAATAGGTGCTGGGTCTGGAAATGTTGGTGTCTAGCAAATGGTAGTTGCATCCTGCTCAAACAGTTCCTTCCAGTGTCTCCTAGGGGCAATGCAGCTGCAGCATCTCTCCTGAGACAATATTGTCCTCTCATTCAATAATACTGGAGGATGCAAGACAATAAATAGATTTGCTTGAGATTGTGAAGCTGACAGAAGTGTTGGACCACTTCTCACCTGAATCTAAGGGGTCATGGGTATGAGATTCCTAACAATTTCTGTGTCCTGCAGCTGACATAATGTACACTGGCACGATTGACTGCTGGCGGAAGATTGCCCGCGATGAGGGCTCCAAAGCGTTTTTTAAAGGTGCTTGGTCGAATGTACTCCGAGGAATGGGTGGTGCTTTTGTCCTAGTCCTGTACGACGAAATCAAGAAATACACATAAGTTATTTCCTGTTGTGAACTGGCATGTTGCATTATGTAGCCTGTGACCATTCATGGACTGTATCAAAACTGTCTAGTTACTAATCAGTGGCAGCTGGTATTTATACAGGTTAACATGGGGCAGGGCTGGCTGTCTGCCCTGTTTTCATGGAGCCGTTCCCCTGATGGGGCTCGTTCGTGGTTTCTGTTTCAATCACACCAGCTTCAAGAGTATGAAGAAATAAAAAACTGAAACCACTTTCCCTTGTGCGGAGTTTGTTCTCCTGGGCGCTGCAGTGAGGGGGAGAAGGCAGGGCCCCTCCTCCAGGCCTTGCTCGCTAGCCGTGCTGGGCCTCCAGCAGGCAAACGAAGTGCTGCTGGCCCAGAAAGCTGCCTCCTCAGGCAGGCCGGACAGTCTAGCGGGGCCGGGACCGCCAGCTCTGCTGCGCTTTTCCCTGCTGCCCTGGCAGAGCCCCGGAGCTGGAGGTCATGTCCCGACCCGGGCCTGGCTGCTCCCCGGCGCCCTGCAGCGCACCAGCCCTCCCACCTGGGCTGAACCCCGGCGAGGCCACAGACGTCTCCAAGGAGCCTTTGCTGTTGCCTGAAAGAGCAGGGAGCCGAGATCACATGCATGGCCTTAGGACGCCAGCTCTGTACTTGGGCATGTTAAAACCCAGCCAGAGAAAACGAGCATTGGTAATTGCTGCTGTTTGGTAAATCGCCCGGGTAGCCGGGCCCCTGGGCGAGGTGCTGGGCCTCCTGGATGCGGTAGGAGAGCAGACAGCCCATCCGGAGCCCGTGCTGGTCTCACCCAGGCCGGGGGCCAGGTCTCCTGCCCACCTCTGAGCTGAGCTCTCCCCAGGCTCCCGGGGGCAAGGAAAGGAATTCCTTGGTGCCGCTGCACCCATTAGGGGAAGATACAACAAGCCTTGGCACGGTGGGTGGCTGGGCCTTCATCCAGGCCCCTCCGTGAGCTGCCTGCAGGAAGCTGCTCAGCACCTGTCTGGGGAGCCAGGTGGGTGAATGGGCTCTCCCAGGCCTGGCTCCCTGACCTCAGAGCAAAGCGGGTCCTCCTTACAGCCTCGTTTTTTATTTGTCGTCTCAGGCTTGCTTCAAGCAGTTGATCTCAATCACCGAAACTGATCTTGACCGCTGCCCGGACAGACAAGCGCTCGGGCCGCAAAGGGCGGTCGTGGCTTGGGTTGCTGATCCCCTCAGGAGCGAGGTGTGAGAGCAGCATTGGCCGCGCCAGGCGCACACACGTCTGAACCCCTTGTGGCCGCTGGTCTGGTCGGTTTGAGGGCTCTGCAGGGGATCAAGGGGCTGCACATCCACCATCACGCTCAGTGACACCAGGGGTCTCAGACGTGGCTGTGCTGCTGAGCCAACAACCTTTGCTGGTGCCCTCCTGCTGCGCTCGGGCCTTGCGCTATAAAGGCCCTGCTACCTCAGTGGGAGGAAAAGGGGCTGAAGGTCTCCCAGGAGAAGGAGAGTGAAGGCACAACCGCAGGCCGGCAGCAGCTTCAGCAGAGAGCTCCCCAGCACAGGTTGGCTTGTGAAGGCTCCCTGCTCTAATTGCCTTCAGCTGCTGAGCTCTCCTGCAAGCCAAGGCCTTCCCGAAATGCTTCCTGCGGCTCCGTGAGGAGTTCCCCTGCCTGGAGGGGATGCTGCTGACTATGGCAGGGTGAGGATGAGGAGGGTGAGCACATGGTCCCTTTCTTCCAGGGCTGGTGGGTGAGGGCACCTGCGCCAGGGCCCCACGGACCCGCAGCTCTCGGCTGAGCCTGCAGCCAGGAGGGAGGCTCTCCCGGCACCTTCTCCTTCATTGCTGATGCCACAGGGCTACAAAACCCCCTGTCACCCCTCACTGTGCAGCCCTGCGAGGGGCTCATGGTGATGCGGAACGTAGCAGTCCATGTGGCGCCTGGCTCTGGACTCGGGTTCAGTTGCTGCTCTTTCGTGTTTTTCCCAATGGGGATGGTGGGGCAGATGGAGCAGGGGAATCCTGCTCAAGAGGGCAGTTGGCAGCAATGACAAAGCTTGCACCAGGCTGCCCTGGGTCCTGCCCCAGACTCAGCCTCATCACTGCCAGCATTGCAAACAAATCAGCATCTGTGCACTGTAACCACCCACCAAGGTGTCTGCCCTGGGCTCACCTCGCGTGCCCGCAGACGTGCGCGAACCTGGCGTGTTTGCACCACAGCCCAGTACCCTGGAGAGAGCTGATCCACCAAGCTGCGGTGTCCCCCCCAAAACCACTGCTGCTCCATCCCGCTGGGGTGGTGACAGCAGGCGCTGAGAGCACCATCTTCCATGCGCACCAATTGCTAATTAATGCCCTGAAGCTAATAACAGCTGCAGAAGTGTTTTAAAGGTTTATTGTGTTCAGACAATGTGTTAATTTACAAGCAGGAATGTGCTGTCTAGGATGCACAAACTCTTATTTTAAAAATTACTGGAGGTCAGAGTTGTGAGTAGTAGATCAAGGTGGACAGGCTCTGATCAGAACAAGAAAATCCAAGCCAATTCTGGGGAAACTGGATTTTTGTTTTGGGCAGTTGTTTCCAGCATAGAAGTGAGGGCATGTGAAACTACCAGGTCACTGCAGCACCCTCTCCTCTCACACTGAGCGCCGAGCCTGCTTGCCTGGGAAAGGAGGCCCCTCCAGGAGGGCCTTGCCGGCTCCTTGCGGGTTTCTCGTCTCGGCAGAGTTTTAAGACGCTCCTGAGCGGGACTGAGCCGGCTGCTGTGTTCAGGCAGGCGCCAGAACGTGTTTCTGCTTGTGTGCGCTGCCCAGCCATGTGCGGAACCGGGGTCGGGTGCTGAGCCGGCGCCACGCCGTGTGCACGGCGCCGCGGGACGCACAGGGCTCTGCTGAGCTGGGGACTCTGCTAAGCTGTCCGGAGCTCCAGTAGAGCAGGAGGCTGAGCGGGTGGGTGGTTTATGCTCCTTCCAAGCAGGTTCTACTGCTGCCTGGTGCTGTGCCATTGCAATGATGATAGCTGTGTTTGGGGCGCTGGGAAGGAAGATGCCCTGCTGCTTCCCAGGAACAACTTCCGTAGGTCATTTCCAGTTCACTGCTACAGTTTAGCACTTACCAACTGTGCGCGGTTTGGAGCTGTGAGGAGCAAAGCAGCTTTGCGACATGGAATTATTTGGATGTGATAATTCAGGTCACGCTGTTCCTATGGCAAACCTATGGGACAGCCTTTGGAAACTGGGCTGGGCTGTTCCGCTGGAAGGAACACATACTTCTGGTGGGACTGGCTGCACTGGCATTATTCTGGGGACAGATCTCCTTTCTTAATTCACATGTTGCCTTGCTCAGGAATGGTTCCAGAGCAGGAAAAGCTCTTATGTGCAGAATAGCCCTTCCTTGGTTGCTACAAGTGTGTTAAAAACTCTGCAGAACAACTAGTTGTACTTAAGATAGCACTCTATTTTAAAATAAGGATTTCAACTAGAAGCCCCCACTTCCTTTTGCTGTAAGCAGATAACATATTTTAATTCACTTTCATCTAGAAGTCCGAAATTCAATTGGATTAAAACTCCTGTGAGCTATATCTAGTTAGATATGGTAAGAAACATGTTTTGAATTTTATAGCAAATTTTCCTTACTGTAGATGTTTCAGCCACAAATCGCATACTACGCTGTATTAAAAATAGCTAAGAGATGGTTATCTTCATAAAAACCTCCCTCCCTTTTCTAGCTGGATCCATAGCTGAGACAAGTGAGGCAGATCTCTGTTTACACAATTGAAATCACTTCTGTGTGTGGGCTGAATATCTAGAAGCCACGAAGGAAACGCACCTGAGCCTTTGTTGCTGGTGTTACCTGAAGCAGTGCCACAGCCCACCCTTTGTGACAACTACAGACTGTAAGAAGATCTCAAACTGTCCAAAATCTATTTTCAAACACCAAAGCTCTTTTCTGTCTTTGGTTCCTACTTGGAAAAGATTTTCCTGATTGTTTGTGGGTTTGTTTGGTTTTAATATAGAAATTTAAATACAGATGTTAGCCATGAAATACCTCTCCCAGTTCTAGAACAGACAGTTGAAATGAACTATTTTGCCTTTAAATGTCATCTTCCTGCTGCTTCTCCTCCCAGCTGTGCCTGGGGTGGAAGGCAGCCCAACCCGGAGGTTATTTCAGCCTTGGGGAGCTCTGGACCGGAGCCCTGCGGCCCTCACCTGGCTGCACGGCGCTAGCAGAAGGGGGAAGGCTCCGGGGCCAAGGCCTTGCACACACCCGTCCCTCGTGCCCTCCTCGCCGTCACACGCAGCCTAGCGGTGGCTTCGCTGCCCACACTCTGCCGACAGGGTTCGGAGCGGCCACCACGAGCCCTACACAAGCTCCGCGCTGCCCTGCAGCCCCTCTGGCACGCGCGCGCCCAGCCCACCCTTAACGGAGCTAGCGGAGCACGGCCTCCAGAGCTGGCGTGTGCGCCCCGGCCTGCCGGACCCCAGAGGCTTCCCCATCTCCCACACACCCTGTTTTCCCAAAGAAAGAAAGGATGCAGCCTTAGTCTAAGCGGACCAGTCAATTTTACAAAGCCAGACAGAAAGTTTTTATTGATCATAGGAGCTTCTCCCACAAGTGGGAGGTGTTTCATCTTGTACATTGCTCATGGATTATTTGGGGAGAGTTGGTAGAATTAAAAAAAAAAAAAATGCATGGAACATGTAAAAGAGATAAAACAAAATGTTCCTGCCCAAGCAAGGCAGTACTTCTGTGCATGGATTCTTCATGTTGTTAAAGTCTCTAATGGTTGGTGTGTTCAAAGGTTACTTCAGAGATGAAGCTGTTTTTTAATTTTAATGATCACTGGTTGTATCAGTGATGGTTCAGGCTACATAGCTGTATTCATTAATGGTCTAACACTTTGGCAGTTTTTGTTTTCGGCAGTTTAAAGTAGTGTTGGATTTCACATTCTTGTATGTGCCAGAAAACTGTTGGCATAGTTTTAATTGCAGAATTCTGTAAAATTGCTTTCTGTCGCTCAATAGGAGTTAAGACTTGGAAAGTTACTGCCAAGCCTAAACTGCTGCTTCTGCTAGCTGATCACGGTGAGCAGCAGCGTGATTCCTGAACCTGGAGCTGAGTCGCTCCAGCCGTGCTGAAACAGCAGCTCTCTCTCAGCAGGTACCGTCTGCTTTGCGCACAGCTCACTTTGGCAAGGGATTTCTTTGTTGCACACTTGACCTGTTGCTCTAATACATTTATGGAAATCCTATGCAGATCTGAAAACTATCAAAACAAAAATATGGGTACCTAAAGGTGCACTGAACACACGCAGGCACCCAGTAAAACACTTCCCCAAACCAGGTGTTCTGCTTGGAACAACTTTCTATTTGTAAAAAAAAAAAAAAAAAAAAAAAAAAAAAAAAACGCAGTTTCAGAGAAGTTTCCAGTGTCGTTTCAGTTATTAAAATACCTGAGCATCACCCATGCTAGGGAGACACTCAGTCTCCAAGCTTGTTGCAGAGCGCTGCTCTTGGGTAGTGTCCATTATTTCTGCTACGCTGACTGAGCTGCAGGGTTCCCAGTAGTTCCTCCCGTCTCCAAATGCCCAGCGATGGGGAGCATTTCATTTGAACTGGTTATCGATCAGGGTTCCTTTCATCTTGGCTTTCTTGGCTTCCAGCTCGGCCTGATAAAGAAAATTAAGACAGAATGAAATAATGCCTGGGAATGTTTCCTTTCAGTGTCCAGTGAGGTCTGGTCTTCCAACAAGGAGACTTGAGAGGTTGAGAGCACAGCACTGGGGGGGCTCTGAGTGGCAGTGCCTCCGCAGGGTTTTCCCCTTCCACTTTCCTTGTCTGACAGGTCAAGAAGACCCTATGAAAGCTCTACTGGCTGCTCCCTGGTTAGCTGGCTAGTAATTGTGCATGATTTTATATACAGGAGGACTAGAGGAACGCCTCTGTACAACCTGTAAAGGAAAAATGGTCCTCGCAAGGCTACAAGTTACCTGTGTCTGTACCAGGACCTCTCTATACTCTGAAATACTCAGTTTGATTTGCACGATAACTTTTGTGCGCAAAGCCAAGAGACCTCAGAGACTCATGTTTAACAGCGAAGAAAACACTCACCAACTCCTGTAGCCTTTTTTTGCTCATTCCTTTGCGTTCCAGTTGCTTCTCAATTACTTTTGCATTCTGTGCATAGGAGTCTGCAATCTCCCTCTGAAACACAGACAGGTCACTTTGCAACAGACTAACAGCATCTTATCCAACTGGTGAGAGAATCATCAGCTTCGATCAGCTGCCCAGTGCAGACCTGACTGGCACTGAGGGCAGAGAAAACTTACCGCTTCAATCTCTTCCTCCTCTTCATCAATTGTGGAGACTGTGACCGAACTGAACTTGCCCATGTCTTTGGTCCGTTTGGTCATCATCACCTTCGTGAGAAGCAGACCTTTTGTTAGACTTCAGGAACAGGGGAGTCACTAAGTCACCCACCCCAATGCTTGGAAGGCTTCAGTTCCAGTCACTAAGATTACACAAACTCGGTGGACAGCACAGCAGAACCAGTACTGGTGACTTCCAGGCTCAGAGCTGTCATTATCAGGAGCAAACTTGCCTACATGTTGGCAATCAGTGGCCTTGAGAACACAGACTGAGAGGTGACTACCAACCTGACCTATTTATGATGGGAAACCTGGTAACAGAGCCCAAAGATCAGGCTCCAGATTTCCAAATTCATTTTGCTTGGCTTTAGCTGCTGTGACCGTTGTTAAGAAAGACTAAAGGTACACACGGAGAAGACAGAGGTGAGTTATCTTACTACAGGTCCTTTTCCCCCTCCAGTAAGGTGATTTTATCCATTGCACCTTTTTGAAAAGCAGAGGCAGGTTTGCTACTGCTCTAAAGCTGAATACCTTTTTGGGAGGCTCTTGTTTTTGAGTATATATGTTTGTTTTCCCAAAGCCCTGGCCAAACTTGACCACAGCACCATCCACAATGAAAGTCACTGGGGCATTTTTCTGTTGGTGTTGATAAAAAAGCAGAAGTCCACACCTGCAAATAGAAACACAGCTGTGAGAAAACACAGATTCCAGAGTCTCGCAGCTACCTAACTTTAAAAATTACTAAAAAAAATGTTCATCATCACCACGCTCCAAGCAGATTCTAGCAACAATTCAGGGTTTAAATGTGCTTGGAAGGGTTGAGACCTTTTACGAAAGGAGATAATATCAGAATAAACCAGCAGCCATTAAAAATAATGATTAACTTCTGATTTTGATTACACTAGTGTTCCCATTTTCCTTTGCATTCAACGACACATACTCAGCCCATCCCTGTTTTCCCAGGTCACAAAAACAAGCAACACAATAAACCAAACAGTGCTGTACAGAGATGACAGGAAGTGTCAAGCAATATTCTGGTTTTAGACTGGATGTGAATCAAGGCTGCAAAACACTACAACAGACCCTTCCCAAGAGGAGCGATTGTCACTAACTAAAATAGTGTTGAAAAAGTTATTTCTAAGGAGGCAGGGCAAGGCGAGGAGGAATCAGGAGATGCAAACAAGCGTGCACAAGCAAGGCTTGTGCTGCCCCGTGTCACTTACTTGCCGCACTTCTTTCTGTACTGCCGCTCGATGCCCTCTGGCCTGGGGAGAGGAGAAGTGGTCAGGAGCCCGGGAGGCCGCTGAGCCCCCCAGCCCCGGTGCGGCCTCACCTGCGCAGGTAGACGCTCTCCTCCTCCTCGGCGTTGCAGAACTTGTGCGCGTGCTTGGCGGCGTCGATGACCCGCGCGCGGTCCCGCGGCCGCATGGGCAGCTTCTCCAGCTGGCAGTCTGCGGGGCAACTCTCAGGGCCAGCCCGCGCCACCGCCGCCTCCTCCACGGCCCCTGCTAGCGGCCACCCGCAACGGCCGCCTCCCCTCCCCTCCCCCCC